GTTCTTAAAAAGTTCAGAATCATTGGACCAGTTGACACTAGACTACCTGAGATTATTACCCAGAGATTCTCCTTCAACTTTCAACCAAAATCTCCACCTAATGGTCACCTTTTAGTTAGAGTGGCTCATAATACAAAGAACATCAACCAGAAGTAATGAGCTCATTAAAAAAAAAAAAAAAATCATGCCAACTGGTCAAAAATCATCCCAAAGCAATGATGAGAGGGTAAGAGGGCAGGAAAACTAGAGTACTGGGATTGGTAGAGTCAAATCACAGTGAGTGAGAGTGAGGACACATTGTGGAAAATGTAACCACTAACACTCTAACACTGAAAATTTTGAAATTGTTAAATGAGAATCTTATTTGCTAGGTAAACGTTCATCTTAAAAAAAAAAACAAAAAAACCTCCGGAGTTCTGCACACATTTACAAAATTGATTCCTGCAACATGCATTTTACATTTCCACAGCAATGGATGAATGATTTAGTCACTCTGCAATCACAGATTTTGGTGTTGCCACACTTTCATTGTTACTATTTTAGCCATTCTGATAGGTGTATAGTGGTATCTCATTGTGGTTTTAATGATGGATTTTTCTGATGGCTAGGAGTCCTGGTGTGGTGCTGTGGGTTAATGCACCGGACTGCACAGCTGTGTGAACTGCAAGGTCGGCAGTTCAAGCTCACCAGCTGCTCCTCAGAAACCCTATACAGGGTTGCTATGGGTCCGAGTTGACTCAACGGCACTTAACAACAACAACAAAAGTGATGCTGAATATGTTTTCATGCTTTTTGCATTCATTTTTATTTCCCTATTTAGCACTGAGACCTGTAATATTAGAACAGGAAGAATAAAAGGAACCTTGCTTTTCAAGACCCATCATCACAGTCTCTCCTCCAGTGTGACTGCAGTTCCTACTGAATATTTGTCTTACCCAGATCCAAGAAACCTTTACTAATTTTCCTTAATTCAGAGTTGTATTATTACAACAATGCTCTAATGGATGTTACATTAATAACTTTCCTATTAAAAGCCTTTTTAATATGTAACATTTTCTACTAAAGTAAAATCAACAGTATGAGGAAACTCTCACGTACTCATCAACCCCTCCCCCACCCCGCCAGTCTAGCTACAATAATGATCAAATTTTTATTGTGATTATTTATGATTATTTTCTCATTTTTATTATAATACTCAGGATGCTTCTAAGGTCATCTCCTTGGAAGACTTTCTGGCACTGAGGATACCTCTAAGGAAAAGTTCCTTATAAAACCTACCCCGCTTTGTAGATTCCCTAAAAGTTCACGAACTCTTCAAAACCTGAACCTGGGTTTGCTTTGCACTATTCCTGTATTTGATTAGGGCAGAATGAGAAAGTGCTTTGTCAAAGAAAGTAGCCTTGACAGTTGAAAAACCACACTGTTCTCCACAGAAAATTGTTCAGTATTTAGAATCTTTTAAAATAGGAATAAGAGAGCCTGAAAAAAAATCCTTATTATTATTATTATTTTTAACCCTGCTGTTTCTGTGACTGGAATCGTAATAAACTACCACCACAGTCTCTGTTGGATTATGAAGAGGTAGTACTACACAAGCAGCCACCTCGGTCTCAGTAACACAGAGGGGAAGCTTAAGGACGCTTCTGGACACATAGAAACACTGCAACATTTTAAAAAACCAGCAAACTAGATCAGTTAAGTTTTTCATCTTTTTGCTATAATCACAAAACAGCCCCAAAAGAAAAGCTGGATGATGATGAAGAAATAATTTTGAAGAAAGGGTTTCTTCCAATTACAGATTTTACTATATTTCTGTAACTTCCATGTTGCTTTTGTTACTAAATGCTGTCAAGTCAGTTCCAACTCCTAAGAATACTGAGTAGGATTTCCAAGAAGTGCCTGGTGGGGCTGAGCCTTCGGGCTGTGGTTAGCAGTCCAGTGCTTATCCTACAGCACTATAGTAAAATGCTTTCTGGGGTATTCTCTGGATGGAAATATTTTTCTCCTTTATTATTTTTCTGCAAGATTTAGTTAGAAGAGAAAGCATGTCAATGAAACTATTTCTAAGGGACCATCTTGATCAAATTGCATATAATTTAATGCACATATCATAAAAGGTGAAAATACATTCAAAGTGAGCACCAATTAGAAAGATAGCCTCCTCAACAGTACTTGTAAAATATAAATAAGATAATCCTATGTTTCGGTTTTGGTTTTCCTCATAATGCTATAGCACGCTACAGAAAACAAAGCCTATATGGCTATATAACACCAGAAATGCTAGAAGACTACTAAAAAATGACTTGTTCATTAGACAAATGTGATTCCTAAACTCCTTTCAACTAAATCTGATGTCATTAAACTGGAAAAACAAATAAACAAAAAAAGCTGCACACATCTCCTGGTACAGTTGTTTGGTCTACATTTCAAGCTGTGATCTGCTTCATTGGCATGAGCTTTGGTGAAACCTGGTAAAAGAAAGAGAAAAAAAAATCAAATTATGTTATGAAACACACTGAGTAAGAATATCTCTTTTGAATTTCCAAACTGAGATGTTGTGGACGACAAACACCTCACATGAATATCCCTTGGGATTCCTGTATTATTTTCTATTCTGAATCACTGGGACAGAGAAATTCTTTTCTGTTTGTTGCATTGTGGGTATTTACTGGTTTTCAACCTTCTCACATTAAAACTCCTAAGTTAAGGATCATTCAGTTTGCCAAAAGTACAAAGTGGAAAAGGACAGGTGTGTGATGGTTCATTTTAAGTTTCAACTTGGTTAGGTTATAGAGTCCAGTTTTTTGGTTACACACTAGTCAAGATGGTGTTATAAAGTAGTTATGTGTGATTTTAACAGTTAGCTTTAAGTAAAGCTGATTATCCTTCATAATGTAGGCTTTATTCAAACAGCTGGAGGCTTCAAAACAAAAAGAGTTTTCCCTAAAGTATATTCTGCCTCTAGATTATAAACATTTTGCCAGAACTCTTCATTCTTCCTATTGCCTAACCTATGGACTTGGGGGCACAAGCCTGTAAGAATCTCTAGCTGATGGATGAC